CCCTCCCCACCCGCCCCTTTGCGGTTGACTTTTCCTGCGCGTTCTTGAGAGTTTAAAAATAGTCATATTTACAGTACAATTTGGGGGACATATTTCATTATATGATGCTTCCTTTGTTTTCTTTGGTTCAAGTTCAATCAAGGTTCAAAGAAGCTGAACTCCGGTTTGAACACATGACAGCTGGAAGTTTCCCCAAATAACTCCCCCGAAACATTGCATGCAAGCAGGGAGACTTACAGAAATAGAAGCGTTAAAAAACAACTTCTTTTAGTATCTTTTTAGATACGAAGTATGGCGACATTTTACGAGTCACACTGTAAGTCCTCACGTTTTCGGACTCCGTAGATTATGATATTCAAGAAAGAAAACAAGAAAACTTTGCTTATTATAAAATAATCGGACCTGAATCACTTCGCGACCTCGGTACTTTCCTGTCGTATATCCATTTTCAATAGCAGTGAAAAAAAGTTCATAACAAAGAGTGAGTTTAGAAGAAGAAGTCACATTTTCACTGTTTAAAAAATGGACATACAACAAGAAAGCGCTGGGGTCGTGATTGGCTTACAGTAGAGACACATTGATACAAGACTACTTGTAAAAGTTTGATAAAAAGCGGTGTAGGTGGTCAAAAGTTATCTGCAAAAACCCACGTTATTTATTGAGTTGGACGAGATGTATACGTCACACTGTAGACAATCAAATAGAGATTTGACGTAACTTTGTGCAAAAACGCACAATTGTGTATTCCTACCAGAAAACTCCAAGAAGCGTCATTTACGTGGACACATTCACTATACGCCTGGCCTACTCCTGTCTTTTACAGTTTACCTTTAAGGAAGTTATAAATAGGTTGTTCTAATGTCCTTGCTTTGTCCTTGTCAGTTCTACTTCTGTTATACGCGCGCTTAACTTTCATTGCCTTTTAAAAAAACGTGTCAGTAGAGGTTTTACGGCGCTCCCAACTGCATACGGTCATATGAGCGCCAGTTTCATAGTCTCATCACCGCCACCTTGGTCTTCCGTTTGCTCTTTCATTTTTTGTATGGCGTTTTGAGATTGGAGAGGATCGCCAGGCTTGATAATTATTATGATACGGTAAGGGATTCCCCCCTGGTAGGTCACTGGAAGAAACTGACAATTTAGTTTTCTCCAGTTTATGTAATAATACCCTTCCCCCCTCCCCCCCACCAATCCCGGGGGCTCCCGTGGCCTAGATGTTACGGTGTTCGCCTCTCATTCAAAGATCCCGAGTTCGAATCCGGGTAGCGGCCGAAAAATGTTCTCTAAAATTGTCTCATTTCACCTCCTTTCCTGCTCTCTAACAATGTTCTGTCGTCTGCTTTCGTCTCCACTATTGATCCCCACCTCCTCCCATCCTTTGCCCCCTCCTCTGGGCTCCTGTCTCTTTCTGTAGCCTTTCTACTGCTACTTCTTGGCTCCTTCTTACTGCTATCTTTCAGCCGCACCCCTGCTCTTATGATAGGTAAGATCTAAAACTTAGTCTTTTCGGATAAGAGCGAAAAAATAACGGAAGTCCCGTGCGCAAGTTGCGCACGTTAATAATACCTTGGTGGTCCAAAATCAATAAGAGTAGGCTTCGGCCGGCACCCGGGCAAAATTAAAAAATGCCGTACCAACCGAAAATAATGCGTCGCGCACGCTCATGTGACCGTATGCAGTTGCGAACGCTGTAAAACACTTCCCAACTTTCTCACATACTCATACACACTAATTTACTCTCTGTCTGTCTTTCTGTCTCTCTGTCTGTCTGTCTGTCTGTCTGCCTCGATCAAACACTCACACACACATGCGCACACGCATACACACATACACACACAAACACGCAACGACAGCAACAACTTTAGGCTTATAATATTAACAGCTCTACTAACGAACGCTCACACACACACGTGCGCGCGCACGCACGCGCACACACACACACACACACACACACACA